ATATATACCGGGCAATGGCACTTGACCTTAAAAAAACATCAGTGTAGGGTATACCGGGCAAATGTATACTGGGCAGTGACACTTAACCTTAAAAAACACCAGTGTAGGGTTAAAATATCGAATAAATGTAATTATAATCGAATGTAATAAATATTTCGGACATTCACCAAAGCATATCTGTGATTGTTGAGATACACTGGTGAGGGTCCAAATGTACAAGAATGTAATAAAATATTCGATCTTTCAGCGACGTATTTGGTGTTTGTCGACATTCACCGGTGAAAGTCAACAACCACCGATTTCGGTCATTCGCCGTGACATATATATATCAAGAAAAATTTCACTTACTCTTTTCTTCTTTCTTTTGTGCTTCACCTGAAAAATAAAAAAAAATATATGGTTAAATTTATAATTTAAGTATTAGAAATGTTTTATTTAAAAGTTCCATATGAAATTAATGATAATACATTTCAATCAAATAATACTATTAATAACAATATTTAAGAACGGTCATGCTGCTCCTTTGAAAACTCTGTAGATCACATTCTTCAGTTTTACCATTTTTTTTTTCCTCCAAAAAATTTTTGAAAAATGGCAATGAGAAATTATTTCAGTAACCACTGGCTTTTCTTTTACCCAAAAATGCAAATCATATAACCATAACAAATCGAGATTAGTAGGTCGCCGTATCTTCTTCGTAAAAAAACAAAATTTAAGTCTTAACATGTGATTCGTAATTTAGTAATACAATTGTATTTTTTTTATGCTATTGAAGCGTATAGTTGCCATTTTTTGAACTTCCACAAAATATATTTTTCTGTTGCGTAACTAAATTCCATCAATATGGCAGATAGGTTTATTTTTGCTGCCGTAAACATTACTACATAATTATTATTTAACATTATTAACATTATTTAACATAATTATACATTATTAATGTGCTTGTTAGTTTATATACATCCTGAAGTAGGGCCACGTGGGGCACTAGGCCATTCAAATTTTTGGGGCCCTTAGATTAAATTATTTTTCTCTTATATTTTTTATTCATTCAAATATAAAAGTATTTATATATCTTTTCATTTAAGAAAGCATATTTAAAATTAAAATAAATAATAATAAATTAAATTTTACTTTATTGTTTTTGTTTTATTATTTTTTATTTTGCTAAATTAGAACTAAAAAATAACATTTTAAAAAAACTTGAAATTGAAATTTATTTTCAAAAAACTTTTTTAAGGGGGCGCGTAATCACTGGGGGCCCAGCCCTGTCCTGAAGTATGAATTTCTTTCATCTTATCACAAAACTTAAAGCAGTTTTCCTGTAAAAAAATTTTTTTAGAAAAAAGAGTGACAATTGGTATTTTAAGAAGAAGAAAATCACGACCCACACATGTGACCTATGACGTTAACTCTAGTTGATCGTTAATAAGCAAAATGGCGTGTTTGAGTTGAGCTAAGTCTCTCCACATAAGGTAGAATGCTTAATAGTGTGATATTAATTAAACACAGCGCCGTATCACGCATCAAATTTTTTGAAAAATAACTCTTTCTCGTCTATGTGTTTTACTTAACTTACATTTATTATTTGTTTATGCATTTTATTGTAACCGTGATATATTTTTCTTTTGTGCACCTGGCAATTTCGATGCATAATTAATTTGTTTATTCCACATTGCTCCGTGCCTGTCTTTGTGTTAAGTGAGAAAGATATACTGAGGGATTGAGGGTTGAAAAAGAGTTAAAGGTTAAAATCTTTAAGTTAAGAGGTTAAAGAGTTAAATGGTTGAAATCTTTAAGTTAAGAGGTTAAAGAGTTAAAGGGTAGAAATCTTTGTGAAAAAATATTAAATATGTCACTTAAGAGAATTGATACTTGACGGGCTTGGCTTACTCGGAAAAGAATGGAAAGAACAGTTTCTGATTAAAACAAATGCCACGCTTTAAAACCCAATTAGGATCGAGATACCCACACTTCAGTATCCATCCCATTACGTAGGGGTAAAAAGGGCTTTGCTTTATTAACACTTATGTTTCTTATCAATAATTAATCCAAATATTTTAATTATAATTATTTTATTTATATTTTAATTATAAATAATAATTCTTATCATTAATAAATCCAATATGTTATCAATAATTAATCCAAAACATAAAAAACCACTGATTACGATTTAACTAGAAATGTATAGTAAAAAATACGATTGCTCAAACTTTTATTGGTTTCGCCTGATTCCGAAAAAGGTGATTGTTGTTGTTGTTGTTAATTTACGTCGCACTAGAGCTGCACAATAGGCTATTGGCGAAGACATGCCATCACAATTTTGATCCTCTGCGGAGGGGATGGCACCCCAGCTTCGATAGCCCGACGACCTGCGCGCGAAGTCGAGCACTTTACGGTAGCACAGTTTAACGAGGACCAATACCGCACACCCTCGGTCCCTATGCAGACTGATCCAAGTGGTCACCCACCCGCACACTGATCGCAGTCAGTGATGCTTGACTTCGGTGATCTGCTGAGAACCGTGTCTTAACGATCAGTCCACTGCGGGACCGAAAAAGGTGAAATTCCTTTAAAATTAAAAAGTGGTAGTACTATTTCAAGAAATTATTGTTTTAATGAATATAAGCAATAAGCGTGTTGGGAAGATATTTTAAAATTAAAACGCATAATTTAAGGAAAATGTCAAACAAAATAGATGACTATCTGCAAATGGTTTAATTTTTGGAAATCCTTAAAAATGTAGCCGTTTCTTAATTCGAGCGAGCGTAAATGCTCAGAAAAAGAAATAATTCTTACATTTAAAAGCTAATTCGAATATGGAAAATTGGAAGGCATGGTGGCTCGGGGGATAGAGCGCTCGCTTCCTGATGAGGTGAGGTTTGAATCCCAGCAGTGAGTGGTTGATATGAGTTCCGCACCCAGCTCACACCGACCACAGTGCTGACGTAAAATATCCTCAGTGGTAGACGAATCATGGGTTAGAGTTCCCTTGCAGTCAGATTAACCGTGGAAGCCTTACGTGGTTTTCCTCTCCATGTAACGAAAAGTCCTCCAAGGAGACACATTTTCCCCACTACTTGATCCAGGAGTTTCCTTGTCGTCCGAATTGGGTTCAAAATTACAACGCTACAGAGTTGAACATTAGTAGACGTAAACCCAAAATTGGGTAGACTGTTCAACGACTGTTATAAAGTATTGCAATTAAGCGATATAATCACAAAATGGAGTATAATTTCATAACCATTCATTTATTAGTTTTTCAAATTATCTTTAGGCACTTTTGATCAATCGCATAGCAAGAAAAATTAGACTTAAATTTTAAAAAATCTGCAAATTCAGAATATGTAAAAAAATGTATACTTTAAAATGCAATTTTTTTTTTCATCGTCAGCAAATTAATTATAAAAATTAGATATTTTATCTAGATTCCTCATTGAATTACATACTATTTGTATTTTGGTTGAAGGCTTTTATCTTTAATCGAAAGATATGTTTTACTTTAACGAATCTGGTGAAGAGAAAAAAACTAAAAGATATGGACAGATATTTTCAAAAAATATAAAGAGAAAGGTGACAGATTACAATAATATTTGAGCAACATAATTTTGAACAGTTATAGCTGTTAAACAACAAACACCAGCTTTTTAAAACGTTGCTTACTCCCTTCCCCCCAATCTATTTTGGGGGTAAGAAATCCGAACATGATGAAAAAAGGTATGTTTTTCAGAAAAAGTGCTTTTTTTTTATCAGAATAAGCATAATCTGCTTCGATTACTGTCAACTATTATACATAACTATTTTAAGATATTTCTTTGAGATAATGCAAATTTACTTAACGAAATGAAAAGTTGACCAACAATTTGAAAGTTATAAAGGTGATCCGTATTTTTATGTTTTGTCTCCTGACTGTACATATTCTATTACGACATAGTAATTAAAATATAAAAATTAAAAATATATTTACTCTAAACATTGAAATAGCGCAAAAACATTGCAAGAAGAGCTCGATATCAGTATCTGGAATGCACAGTCGCACATTTGTAACTATCTTGTGATAAGATTTTTTATGAATACTATTCTGTTCTGGCACTCGAATTGTACTAAAAATATTATACACAAAATTTGTTTGATAATTTTTTAAATTAAGATAACCCTTTGAGGCAGTTGAGACACCAGTGTTCCGTTTATATATTTTTTCTAATATTTATATATTTTCGGCTGTTCTAATTACAGGCAAAAACATATTTCAATATATTTTCATTATTAAAAAAAGCGTAATAGTTACGAAAAAAAATCTGCTTGATTTGTGCAAAAATATAAAATCCAAAAAAAGTAGTTGGAAATTTTTTTTTTCATTCATATTCAAAAATGTATCAATAAATTGATTTTGTGAATTAAAGAAATTTCAATAATGAATAACTGTTTCTCTTAGATCTATTAAATGACTTCAAATAAGTGTAAATTTGAAAAACTATTGTTTGGAAGCAAGCCGTGTTTGGAATATTTTACCTTTAACGCAGGAAAAGCATGGCGTTTCCTGCTATATTTCAAAACCATAAAATGCTTCATATAATATTTTTTACTTGTTTTGTCCTAAATTAATACAAAATAATGAAAAATATGTTTAATGAAAATTCTGCGTCAAAGGGTTAAGTAAATCTATTTTGAAATGGAATTTATTTACTTTCAATTTCAATAGTTCTAACGTTTAAAGATTAACTTTTTACTAATAGTCGTTCATGTGACAATATGTTTTTTGACTCCA